AGGCACAGAGTGCTACCAAAAGAAGAGAAGTAACGTTAGATATTTGTACCCACCTTCAGAGTGGTATGTTACTTCCAGGTACTTGTTTATGGCCGGACAGTGTTTAGGAAGGGGAACATTTTTTATTTGCTTGTCACACTGCTGCAACTCCTGACATAGCGTCCTTACGTAGGACATGTTCCACTTTTGCCTGTTACAAAATATGAGAAGTAAGTTTAAACCGTCAGTTATTGTAATTGGATTAAGCTAATTCTTACCAAATTGACCATAAAATCCATAATCCATAAAATTAAGACAGTGTGGCCTAAGGGTGGTTATGGTGCTCCTACCAGCCATTGACATCTTGACACTTCTCACAAGACCGGCCCCTGGTAGTGTTGTCTCCACAGCGAGGACTGTTTTCCCTCCGACCGCAGAATGCATCGTCGATCACGATCAGCCCATCCTCTGCACAAGACAGTTGCATGGTCTCCTCTTCGCATGTCGTTCCTGCATCAATGATAGCATACAACAACAAGATACAAGATGACTTTATTCGTTTTCGCAGTGTGTACAGTGTATAACACAGAATAAAAATCAAATTTACAGATACAAAAAATCTCAATTATTTAAAAAAAAACAGTTGCAATAGCTTAACTATTGTCGTTTTAAAAATGGATGCAGTTGAATAAAGTAGGTGGCTATAGATATACATGTATATACAAACAAGACTCATAGTTAAGATTTTATGTCCGACAAAGTTACAAAAGACAGATTGGTACAATATATTTTATATTATTTTACAGTGCTGATTCCCTATGCCAAGTCCATGCTGGTTGAGCAATTTGATCATATAGGGTACACTAGAGTCTACACTAGCATCTTACCTTTAGGCCACACCCGTCTAATTAATTGGTTCTGAGATTCATTTAGAAAAATATAAAGCAAAAGGGAGGGGGAAAAAAGGGAAAAAAGTCTATGACAACCAAAAAAAGTCTATGACAACCAAAAAAATTCTATGACATACAATCTCATCCTAGCATTGTAAGGTATTATGCAGCAGTTTGTCAAAATAATTGTAGAATGTAATTATGATTAAATATGTGCAAAACATTAGATAAATGCAATTTTGAAAGTGTAAATTAAACTGTATTGTAAATTTTCGTATTTAAACCCCAGAAGATACACTCATACAATTGAGGTCAAGAATTGAGGTCAGCGGTCAAATAACTAATTATTATAGGCTATATTACTTGATAATAATACATATTATACTAAGTCTTACTTTTGTAGGTGGTAGGGTTGGTACCATTGATACCACCAATGCTGGGTGGGTTGTCGGTACCATTGATAAACTCGGGGCTGGGTGGGCTGGTACCATTGATAAACTCAAGGCTGGGTGGGTTGGTACCGTCAACACTCGTAATGGTAGCTACAAGTATCAGTTCTGTTGCATTCAGTATACTCAAGTTCTTGACTTCTTGCATGGGCTGGAAAAAACAGAAGTATATTCTTGACATTTAGTTTCAAGAAAAAATACTAGTATGAAATATTTGTCTTCTTTCAAATTTTTAAGTCAGTTGCAGAATTTCATTTTCAAGCTCTAAAGAGAGGCAGTAACTTTAAGGTTTTTTATTATGATTTTCTGACATTCTACCTCATTTTATGTTGCACGGCCCCAAACTTTTTTCTGTGCACCTATATACAATTTTAGGTTAGGTGCACCAGTGCACCTATTACCAAACATGAATTTCAAGCCCTAAACTTTTGTTTGCTTTTTTATTTTTTTTTATTCTTCTTCTGTTTTACTTGATGGGAGTAATGCATAAATAAATGAAACAGGATCATTTAAGGCTATACCAATTTAATCAATTGGTTCTTAGAATTACCCGTTCCTTTTGAAAAAAAGATTTGAAAAAAAAAGATTCTGATCCTGTGTCAACTCCAAAATGCCATATTTTGGTCTAAAAAGTTGACAAAAGCTCCTTGTCTTCCTAGTCATTACGACAGTTTTTCCATGCTATTAATGCAGTGGTTTGATAAAAAGTTAAACTTCATTGTTTGGATAATATCATTATAAACCAGCCTGGTATGTTGATGTCATGGCTATCGTAGCATTTGGGGCAATCAGAGGATGCATACATGTAGGTTTTTTTTTCCCTGTCGCTTCAAATATTTTCTGAAAGATTTAAGAACCAACAAATCAAATTGGTGTAGCCAAAACTTAAGGTGTAAAATTGAGCCCAAATAAAGATACCATTTGATACCCAGACCTTACCATTTGCATGCCTATGTTGACTCCCGTGGTAATCGCTCCCACCACAAGCAGGAAAACCACCGAAGCAACAAGAAAACGTCTTCGATTTTCTGCAAAACAACCTTTTTAATTTTTTTTTATGAACAGTTTTTCTTAGAAAAAACATATGCATGGCACAGGCATAATGATCCAGTAAGTAACCAGGAAATTAAGAACCAGAAAACATTCAATTTGATAGAATATGCAATTAAAGAAGAATTGCATAGAACCTCTATAAGCATAACAGTAATAAACAATTCAAACAATATCATTGATGTCATAGGAAATATTTATTTACAAAACAATATAGTTAATAAGTAACATATAGCAAAACACATAATCCTCTAAATAAGGCCACGGCAAGTAAATTTTATGGATGACATCCTCTGCAGACTCCAAATCTAATGCAAGCGGGCGAAAAAAACAAGGTTCTTGAAAGAGAAAAAAGTAATATACGGCTAGCCAATCTGTTAGAATTGTAGTTAATTGAGGTTTTTACACATCTACAAGGACAGGTAATTCTTTTGAATACAAGAATTAAAGATATGTTTTGGTTGTGATTGATATCATGTTTTATCACCTCAATTCTTGCTAAACAAGGCTTATGATGACCTCAAAATTTCAAAATCAAAGAATCTTGCTTTTGCCTGCCTTGTATTTTTTGACCTATCATATTAAGTTTGGTGTCTGTGGAGGATGTCATCCTTAAAATTTACTTGCTGTGGCCTAAACAACAAGCTAGACATAGCTCTTTTAGAGTGTCATGAACCACAAGTTTACAAGATGTATGTCATCTTACCCCAAACTTTATTGGCCTGTTGGAGGTTTGGTATGTACATTGGGTTTGTATGAAGTTCCTTTGCAGTTGGAGGTTTGTGAAGCTTGTGTACATGTTGAGTGGTGTCATGACTGGAGTCATCTGTAGCTTGTTGGTGAATGTTTGTTGTTCCCCTGAGATAGGCGTTGTGATCGGACATGTTTGCAACAGCATAAGGTTCCATGTCACCATCATCAGTCGCTTTACTCTCTGCATTTCTGGATCCATCTGAAGTCTGTTGGCGAACTTTTCTTGTTGCGCTGAGATAGGCCATGTGATCGGACATGTTTGCAACAGCGTAAGGTTCCATGTCACCATCATCGGGCACTGTACTGTCTGCTTGCATAACTTGGGGATCTTCGTTATTTTCATCACCTTCATCTTCTGTGGTGTTAGTACTGTTTCCAAAAACATCACCATTATCTGCATTTTCCCCTGAAGCTGTGTACATGGCAGAGTTTTCAGCATGGATTGGATCAGATACAGAATATACATCAGCGACCTCTGGGGTGGGGATATCGTTATTATCTGGTATATAATAATGCTCATTTGTGCTTCTAAGTTGGACTTCATTGCCAGCTACATATGTAGCCTCCAACATGTCTTGCCCTTGACTACTAGGAGAGTTTTGGTGGCATCTTGACATTCTCGTTGGCTCTGCAATAGTGCTTTCTGTGTACAGCACATTCTGATCAGAGTGTAGATTATCTTCATTTTGTCCTGGGCTTGTTGCCTCGTCTGGATGGTTTGTGTGATAAACCGGATTGTTCCTTCCTCTGATGGACTGGGACATTTTGAAACTGTTGGCAAAGCCAGAATAAGATGTTATTTGAACATTTAGTGGCAAGGTGGTCTTGTGGTTTAAGAGGTTTGACTTAGAATCTGAAGGTTCTGTGTACGAAGTCATGGCAGGCCATAGTGCTGTGCCTTGGAAAAGGCACTTTACTCCTATCTACTCCTGGTCACCTGCGATGCCAATCTTAATATTAAATCAAATTTTTATGAATACCTGGGGGATGAAATATCTTTTATACCTAATATTTTTTAACTTGCAGGAAAAAATCTGCACTGAGTAATAACTCACAAACTCAGAGGGTGTATTTTTTCTGTCTGAAAATTTGCCTGTATCAGAGAATCTGATGCGAAGAATATACATAACTAAAGACTTACTTTGCAGTGAAGCCTTGAATGCTGCAAATACTGACAGAACTGGATAGAAGTTGTCTCGGAGACTGTTCCTGGCAAATTTCTGGTCAGGAAAACCAAGCTTTCTCCAGTCTGCTCTGGGTGAATTTGAGGTGTGGTGCTCCCAACTCAGGAGTGGTTCTCTCAACTGGTAGACTAATAAGTAGATGAAAAACTGGCCTTGGAGTGCACACATTGAACTTCTAGCTTTCATCTCATCTGATCTTGCCAAACCTTGAGGTGCATAGATGTTTATTCATCTTTTTTTTCACCAAAATCCAAAACAATTTATTTCCTTGGTTCTCTGACATTTCTTAGCAAAAATTCAGCAACTTGAATCAATGTGTAGTACCTGTCCTTGGTGCTGAACTCCTGGTTATACTAAATGCAGTTCCTCATTTTTTAATGTCAGGAAGCAGGAAACTGTATTGATGTGGCCTAGTCAAAACTTGTAAAATTTGTGCAACGTGTCATTCCCTGGTCCAGCTGCTATGATGGGGTGGGATCCTGGCAGCCAATAGGATCATGGTGGTCTGTAATCTTTCATCGTTTACCAGGAATTTTACAGAACATTCATTTGATGTCTAGCTTATGCAATGTTGTCTCTAAAATGGTAAGAATATGGACAGACTGCTAAGGTAGCTGTTTTGTACAAAATCTTCATTGGTTTTAGAGTTGTCAAAAGTCGTAGTTGAAACAGGAATAGCGTTCATGTCACTGCGTTCACTTGATAGTTTCCTCTTCATGAAAACGTGGGCTTTCCCACTGCTGTGGTTCTTCCGTCTGTGCCTTTTTTGCTGGGAGTGTCTGCGTTGTTTCAGACGATGAGCTTGACTCCCGAGGCCTCTTTGTTGGTTGAGATCCTATTGCTTTCCGTAGGAAGTTTATTATTGATGTCACATTTGTCCTGTGCAAGTCATCAAGAAAGCTGCTTCTTTGCCTAGACCTTTCTTGTTTTTTTTTCCTTTTGTGTGACTGACATGTCGTCATTGTTTTCGTTGTTTTCTTTGTTTTTTTTACCCTTTTTGGTATCTTTGTCTTATTCTTGTTGATAGCAGGTTTGGTCAGGCTGACATCCCTATCACCTTTATCTGTTTTTTGTGCGGAAATTTCTCCTTGAAACTCGTCCACATCTTCAGCGTTTCAAGATTTTTCCTAGGGGATATGACATGTTCATTTCCGGTACGGCTCACCCTTTTCTTTTATATGTTCCTCATACGCTCTATCAATAAAGTCCATGTTTGACTCTAGGAGTTGTAACTTACTGCAGTGTGGGTGCCATTCTTTGCTTTGTTTTGATTGTTAGTTGTGAGAGTTGCACGTTCTTGATCAGGCTCTTGTCCGCGTGCCCGGTGTGTGCCGATTTTAACATTACGTGATATGGTCTTTGTAGGTTTCTGTTCAACGTATGTAGGAATTCTGCAGCAATGCTGTCATCAGCTGATTACGGAATGTCTTTAATTGTTATCAGCGTGTTATTAAATGTTTTGCATCCAGTTTTTCATGCTGGAAGGATTTGACTCCTTAAACTCAACATGTTTGGACCTTATGGTGGTGCCTTCAATCAAGAGCTTATAACTGTAGCTTCGTTGTTATTGTTATCTAAACCCTCCATAAGTCGCGTACCCTCTGAAGTGATCTCAGGTGTGCTGGATTGATGACCTGTATCAGGCAGTGGCACATTTCTTCTTCCCTTATAGGGTTAGTGTAAGCTTCCTTCTTCATTATAACTTCTTGTAGCTCCTCGTTTGACGACTGTTGACCAACAGGTGGTTGTGTTGTTGTTGGCAGGGACGCTCACCTCCATGGAGGTCGCCATGTTGTAGGGTCACCACCACCACCAACAAAACGTCGGAGTTAATGGCAGAAAAGTTTCACGACAGGGAGACTACGCAGTCAAGTTCACACTGCATTGCCGCTGCTGCAAAAATCTGGGTGTAAAGTTGGCTGTGGTGAAACATATTATTCAAAAGCTTTTTAGTTGAAATGTAGCCCGCATGTAATTAAGGTCCTAGATAATTAGTTAGTTTGGTGAACAGTTTTAATTGCGACATAGGGCAGTTGTTTATGTGTGATCCACATTTGAAGGTCGACAAAAATTACACAACTCGATACGGATTCAACCAAGACAAATAAGCTTTGATTTAAAGGCCAATAGTTGTCTCAATACACTGACTTTTGTTTCTCTGTCTTCAAGATGACATTGTGGATGATCCGGAGACTGGACTGTAGCAGGATGAAGGACCAGACTTTTGTCAGCAGATCTCAACCTGTGTAAAAGAAGATGGGGAGGTGTGAGTATGTTTTCTTTATTACACAAGACAACACTCCATATGCACACACTTGCACTCACATTTTTCTCTTTTTCTTTTTTTTCGGGAAGAGCCATTTAACGTTAATTCTAGCCAGCAAATTCCACAAGCAACACTGAAAAATTCTTTATATTGTATAGTTGAATGCTAAATTGCCCCAAATTTTCACTTTGGACCGAATTGATTACACTTAATTACACCCTCAAAATTGTCGCTTTGGACCTTTCTTTACACTTAAATTCTCCCACCAAAAAACTTTGTATCTTAGCCGGCCACATTAATTCCATGTCATCCTCTTCGTATCATATGAATGCCAAATTGCCCTCAAAATTGTCGCTTTAGACCTTTCTTTACACTTAAATTCTCCCACCAAAAAACTTTGTATCTTAGCCGGCCACATTAATTCCATGTCATCATCTTCGTATCATATGAATGCCAAATTGTCACTTTAGACCTTTCTGTACACTTAAATTCTCCTGCCAAAAAAATTAGC